CTAAAACCTATCAAGCAATTGTTTCACGAAAGGTTATTTACTTTCTGACTCCTCCCAACAAAGCAATATCTTTTTATGTAATTTTGTCGATTAATTATGTTTGTTTTGCGATAAGATCCAATTAAAAAATACACACTAGTTTGCAAGGCGATCTCATTTTACATCAAGGAAATAAAAATAAACTCAGTATGGTACTTAAATGCGCATTGAAGATAACGAGTGTGATGGTCTACTGACGTACGTATATACTCGTACATACAGGAAGATAGTGCGCCTACTATAGAGCAGCATATCTATCATTTGCTCCGTTATAAAATGGACACCACGCACCGGGACAGGGTCATTTCTATTGAAAAACTATTTTTATATGTAGATATGGATTTATGGATACAAGGTGTTTCTGTTATTTTCACACAACACAATAGTTCATTCGTTTGTTCTGGAATTACCATTCTGTGGTTGTTATTGCAGTTAGCAACTTTGATAATTCATTTGCATGTTTCATATAGTACATTATTTATCATATTAAGCCATTATAATGTGTTCTATGATTACAGAATATGATGTGAAACAAAAGACTACAAAGTTGAAACAGTTCTTTGAAATTTCATCGAAATTTTTGTGTTTATTTAATGTAATGTATCTTATCCGAAAGTATTACATCTTCCATACTTACGCGTAGTATTAAAAAACATTCACTCTAAAGTGGAATTACTGATTATAAGTGATGACTTACGGATTCATCTCCTCATGTGAATGTATTCTGAAACGTGGACAACTGGATAGCGTACGTAGAGAGCGTAGTTTGCCACACGACTGTTTTGATACTTTCGCTCCTTAGACTTGAAAAACCGTCAAGGTGTAAAAAAAACGTAAAGGACCTTTTTTATAGAAAATTTTATTCTCTACAAATAAGGATAGTCCTTATAATAATATTACACGTTCCGTTGAATTTCTCGTAATCTGTTGACCAAATGACAAATTTTCATAGAAGTAAAATGATAAATAATTCCCTACAAAATTGCCTCGCCTCCATTACATTTTTAAAAAATGCTCCAGCCTTTTTATGACACCAACTTTAACTCATCATTAGAAACCAATAATCTAACACAAAACGAAAATTTGACTGTTACCCAAATTATTGAAAAAATTACCTATTTCCGAGCCTACATTATTTTTACCCAATCTTACATAGCAAGATATATTTGCTATTTTTATATATTATCATAATATTTGAGGAAACCTAACTAGTGTCATTTTGCAGGTCTGAAATAATATACTTGTATCTCTTTTGATGATATTTTAGAACATCTTCATATTTTCAGAACCTGGTGTCATTATGAACCGCATGATAATGACTGGTAGATAGAGTATACAAGTAGGTACTGCATAATTTACATTTTGCATTTTACTTCCAAACGGAGGAGGAAGTATTGGACCTAATCGCGAAATTTTAAGAAAATAGATATTATATGACGTATACGTCAGAAAACCCATATAATTTATTTACGTCGATATATCGGTCTGTCTGTCTATCTGTATGTCTGCCCGCTAATCCTTGCCCCGCTATAACGTGGAAAGTACTGGTCAGATTACGACGTAATTTTGTGACAAGATAAGGAATATGTCAAGGATGAAAATGTTTTGTAGCTTTTGTAAGATCGATCCAGTGGCGGCTGAGCCACAACGAAAAAACTAAAATATAAAAATCTCTCAACTTTGTCTTCTGACGTTTCTTTTCAGAAAAACATTGTGTGGGGGAGGGTATAATTCAAAATCTAGTATATTTATACGCTTCCAAGCCCGGAAATTCTACGCAAGTATTAAACATACATATTTCTCACATCATAGATTACCCCGAAAAACTTAAAACTTGATAGAGAAATATTTTCAGCTCACGCTTTACTTGTACTGCAACGAACGAGATATACCTGCGTCGGCGTCTGACCAATAGATGACAGCTTGATTGATTGACTTTAATTTTTTTGTACTCAGGTACCTTGCTCCCAGAGGGGCTATCTTGTGCCAAATAAAGTTTTTTATGGGCGATGTTGCGTGGAAAGTTCAGAGTCAACCTACATGACGTTATTTTTCGATTTGAGTATCTTGTATGTATGTACTTACTGCTTGGTTTGGAATACATGATGTGTTCTAATATAGATGTTCTTATTTATGACGCATTGTAGTGAAATTCCTTACAATACTAAGAATTAACGGGGCGGGGCTCCTACAAAATCACGAGCACCATCTGCTGAGGTAACGGGGGGCGGGGGACTGTACTTTGTGGCGCCTCCATTGGAGGATCAGGTTGACAGCGTCTCGTCTCGATTTGGTGAAGTTTGTAGAAGAACGCAGACAACAGGCTGTAAAGTTCTAGTAAACTCCATCATATACCCAACAGAGTTTTCTAGTAAGGCAATAAAAAAGGCAATACAAAAATCATTGGACACGGCAGTTCAATCTTGTGGTTTGTTTATTAATCGGACACATCCATTTCTGGCAGCATCGCCTCCATCTACCTATTACAGTAGACAAGAAATGTACTTAATCCAGGTATAAGCCTACCTGTTTATTGCTTTGCAAAAACTACCTAACTGTTTCCTCTTATTTTGACGGCATAAGATATTTTTATGACCCTCGTTCAATTGCTACCATGTACCACATGACCCTTGTAAACATAATTGTGTTTATTGACATGAATAAACGAATTTGAATTTGAGTTCTTGAATTTATTTTACTAAAGATATCAAATTATTTGATAACATTTTTTCTTACTCGGAACGCACCGTCGCGTCGCTTGGTCTGGCAGGACGAAACGAAAAAAACCGATTTGCACTTCACAGCTTACGTTTCATGTTTTATTATTTCCAAATGAAACTCTTGCAGCGTGCTAACAACAAAGTCTACAGGGTGCAAATGATCCACTTTTTCGATTTTATCCACTAGGATCTTTTTAAAATATCAAGAAGTTGAGCACAAATAGTAAGCATTTCAACCCACCATAATTCTTGCACAAAGACAAAATTTTGTAAAAAGCTCTGATAGCACCTTAGGCAATTCTGTCCTGCTTATATCCAGAAAAACTTCAAAAACTGCAGAACACAAATTGAAGGTAACGGCGAAATGGGTACATTTCACGGGTCTTGAAATTCAAATGAAAATGCAGGTATAAAATCGACCAAATCATCGTCCTCAAAAACAAACATATTTCCTTGATATATCGATAATTTTAAAGTTCCACGCTAAATTCCCCTATACTTGACTGGAGTGATATCCGAATTTATTCTTTCCTACTGTCGGCAGTTGCAGATAGATCTGTTGGCTCTTGGTGTAAAACCTGTAGAGCAGGTACCGATTTTTTCAAATCGTGAGCACATTATTTGTCGGATTTTCGTTACTTAAATTTCCTGTAATCACTGGGACCAGAAGCTTTTTAATAATAGAACGTGTTTCACTGATATCAAAGATGCAACATTTAGAATCCCCTTCCCCCAACCCGGACTTTTTAAGCAGTACAATTTTTTTATGTCAATGATAAGGAAGCCCTGTAACGTCAAAAACGGAGTTTCAGCAATTGTTACTTTCTATTTTTTGCCTATAGCAGCCTTGCCATTGGACTAAAACTACAAAGCTTTGACATACTAGTAACCCCGTGTGGAGATTTCATAAAAATCAGAGCGGTAATTTCCAAGTTGATGATGAGTGATATAGTTTTTCGTGATGTAGATGTCATATGACTTAAAAAAATATAACATATAATTTTAGAAATTTTTCGCGATTACAATACTTCCTCGCCACTGGCGTGGGAAGTAAAACGGCTTTAAAATCGAGGAGTATCAGCGATCGCGATTATGAGTACCTATTTTCAGAACGACTTATCTGTGCGATATTATATGAAATAGGGCCGCCAAATTATCTGAATACGTCCTTTCTTAGTCCGTACATTGCGCCGCAACGCTTTGGTTGGCAGCACGAAACAGTAGACAAAATTCGTCCAAAATACGATTTGTAGAGGTTTGCGCGCTTCCAAATTGACGCTTTATTTTTTGATATTTTTGAATGAAATTTTCATAGTGTGCTAAAAATAAAACACCACAGGGTGCTATAGAGCCACTTTTTCATTTTTTTCACCAGATTCTTTTTAAAACAATCGCGAAGTTGAACAGAAGAAGTGGGCACTTCAACCCATCATAAAACTTGTGCAAAAACAAAATTTCAAAAAGTGCTCCTATAACATCCTGGGGAATTATGTTCTGAACATACTCTATGAATTTCATTCAAAAATATTGAAAAATGGAGTGTCAGTTTCGAAGCAGCTGAACCCTTATAAATGGCTTGAAACTCACTGCGTCGGAGCCGCCTTAACCCAGTGTAATGACAGACTAATAATCTGGATATGTAATTTTATCAGTTTTGATTCGTGTTTATATCTTGTAATTTCTGAATGCCTTGTATTAATTGGGACACGTGTTATTTCTGATGCTTCCAGCTTTTGATTTTGGAATGCTTTTCAAATGAAAAATATACATACTTACTCAACATATTTGTCATATGTTTTAATCTATCGAGATTTTAGGAACGCCTTCGAATTATAATGAGATAATTGACCTCTTCTTAGTGCAGGGTTGATAATACATAAAAGATTTTATTTAGTTTAAATAGTTTACTGTGGGATTGTACATATTTGCTTTATTCTGTACGTAAATTTGAACTATGTTTCCTGTTGTCGCTCTTGATTCATCGTGTGGTAGTTTTTCTGTACTCACTTGATCCCCATTAGAAATCAGTACTGCCTGCAAAGATTACAAAATATTTTATCAAACATTTTGTGCTGTGCGGCATTTGCGGTGCAATTTTAAATATGGCATTATGATGGGTTGATAATTTGAGTGTTGTTATCACTGTTCAGTGTGTATCTTGTATTTAAACCACGAGTTACTTGGCACGTCCGATGCTCCCAGCTTCTGATTCCGTAATGTTTCATAAACGCGATTGCGAAGCAGCGTGCTCGAAAGCATTTGTCATCCGTTTCAACATGGCGGTCATCTCTCGATTCGCGGATTCCTGTGGCGAAATCTATTTTTGTCGCTCTATTTAGGTGACAACTATTTTTCTATTTTCAAGTGTAGTCTCTCCTCTCAGCATATCGCGACTCACTTCGGGCGACATTGGTACAACGTGCCCTTCTAAAAATAGCCGCCCAGACGTATTTTGAAAACCCAAGGAATCGCATGGGCCGAAAAACCAAAAACACGATGAATCCGCCGTGGTGGTGAATACTCGGGTCGCACGGACGTTTGAGATGAGGTGATTTTGTGAATTTTGTGACAATGGCCAGGAACAAGAAGGATTCGCATGACGACTATGCGGCCTTCCAACAGCGCGTCAACAGAAGAAGACGTGGGTGGACTGTAGTTGTTGGCCCTGAATTTCGCAGAGGGTAAATGTTTGCATGCACTGTCAACATTTTATATGTTTTGAAATTATGCGCAATATGATACAATTTCCAAACAATGTGGAATCTGTCATATATTTTATGTGAAGACAATCTACCTGTAACATGTTTTGATATGATGTGATACAACTGATTAGACAATATAAAAAAACAAAAGTATATGCTATGCATTTTTAAGTGTGTTTAAAATGGAACACAACTTTCAAAACAAATTAATTGCATGTCTTTTGAGCGCCTTGTCTTGTTGTTACAGTGTATATCTACTTATTCTCAAAGTAGTCCTCAGTTTCTTATACTGTGTCTATTATTTAAATTACTCGATGACCTGTGTTCTATTGATTACAATTCTTTTACGGAGTAAAAGAATATTTGAGACTTCAGTTTAATAAACATAAACCTCTTCTGTTTGGTGAAGAACATTTTTTATGTATTGAAGGTCTTGTATCGAACGTATCTATTTTCAATCTTGTTAACGATGGCATTCCAATTAACAAAAGAACAGAGTGTGTTTCCTTGTTTTACGCAAGAAGAGTTCATAATCTTAGAATGGCACGTTAATAGCTCATATATGTGAACACTTTATACTCTTAGACTAGAATGGCAAATATAATCTGATTTCAGCAATATTTGATCTTTGGATATCTTGAGGATATATATGACGATAAACAGTTTTTTTTCGAAAACGGGTTCATACAAATGTTTGTGATGAAGTGAATTTGTGACAGTCGTCAGGAACAAAAAGCATTTGCATGGTGACAATTCGACCCACCAACAGCGCGTTAACAGAAGAAGAAGGGGATGGACTGTACTTGTTGGCCTTGACTTTCGCAGAGGGTAAATCTTCGCATGCGTTGTCAAGATTTGACTTAGGTATGTTTGGAAATTATGTTCAATTTTATTACATACGAATGCCTTTGGTACTATTGGAATATAAATGTTGGAAAATGATTATGTAAAACCAAAAGATGTGTTTAGTACATATTTTTGATTCGTCTTAAACATAACACATTATTAAAAAACAAAATGCATGACTTTTGTGCGGTGTATTTTGACAAGTGGCTTATTGATAAAATAAATTGAGGAAAAAACATTTTTAAAAACAAGATTTTATTTAGCTGTTAATGCCGATGAACTAGAAATTCAAAAATATTTTTTCCGTTTAGAAATATGTTGTATTATACTTTAAATGATAGTGAAGCTCCTCCATCTTAAGTTTTCAAATAACAGCCTGTTACATTTTCACTGCAAAAGGGAAAAACGTGTAACACGTTTTTATTTGGAAACCTGAGACGAAGGAGCGTCAATACCGTTTAAAGGTTAAGAATTATAAAACAACATTTTTTCATTCGGGAAAACATTTTTGAGTTTTTAGTCAGCTTTATCAACAGCTAAAAAAAGCTTGTTTTAAGAAATGTACTTTTTCTTTTATTTATTTTTAGTATTCATGTCAAATAACTAACGTAATAATTATTTTATTACGAAGTCTTCATAAAACTTCTTATTTTATTTATATTACACGATGCCGATTGATATGAATCATATATTACGTAAATATGGGGACGTACTTATATGTCTGTGTCTAATGTTGAAAAGCTAAAATTTGATATTGGTTATTATAGATGAGAATTTACTTTATATAATAGTCGACTAACATAACCATCAACCCGAGGTAAATAAAATTCAAACGATTCCCAATGCGATGGGTTCGATTTATTACAAAGCTCCATTATCAGATCGGCTCCATTTCATAAAACTATCGCATTCACATACACCTATTATACGCCCGCCATATTGGATTTAGAATGACGTCGCTTTACTTATCATACTTCGCTCATCAAGCGTTTTCATTCGATACTCATATCATAGGGGTAATAATTTAGCATTAGGGCTGTAGCTCTAGTCGGATACTATACACCGTGCTTACTCAAAGTCCATAATTCCAATTTTTCCCAAATCAACAATACTTTTTTCACTGATATTCTTTCTAATGTGCGGCTAAGTCAGGATTCATGGATTTGTATAGCCCAGGAACAATAACCATACCAGAGTAATAGAACAATAAGGATATCAGAGCGTACAAAAGTTGACTCAAGATACATGATGCATATGAATTGCATGGAAAACACGTAGTCACTATACTTGACGTACATTTTTTCATTGCCTGTTAGCTACTATATGGGCCGCTGTGTTCGGCACTATTATTTTGTACCATATTACGAATATTTGAGATTTCAGTTTAATTAGATGAATCGTAATTAACTGGAAAAGAGATGGATTCTGTTATACATAAACTCAAACGTGGGGACTGGATGTATATATAGGACTATGATCCTTGAACATATATGGTGATGAAAATCATCTTTAAATCATGTTTAGTTTATTCAATGGTAAAAGTAGACCACATCTACTTTACAGCCAGAATCGTCAGTCATGTAGCGGTTACATGGTGACTGGGCTCTTACATGCGATTTTCTTAGAAGCAGCGTGTGGCTCCACATATTTTGTTCATTTCTCGAGTTACTCTGAGGTCTTCCGTGATCATGATTTAACACTCTTTGAGATGAATCTCGAATATCTTATAAACATAAGCCACTATATTTTCGTGAAGTATATCATTTTGCTGTGTTAATGCGGTTGTACTAAACAGTCTTCCCCCACGTTTGTTAACGATGATTCTAGGATCAACAGAATTTATAGAGGTAAATCTTTGCATATGTGATATATGACCAGTTATGAAGTGGTGCGTAGTTATTTTTATACATAGATTATTGAATTTATTTTCAATAATCGGGAATGTTTCATGTTTAGAAAATACATACAAATTCTTTTGATAATTCATAAATACAACTGATTGATGGATATCTTACGGCTCTCAGTATCCCTACCTATTTCTATATAAAAATAGGTCCGTATTTCTATCATAGTTCATTTTTTAAGTTATAAAAAAGCTTGTAATCCTGATCAGTGCTTAATGGACTTGAGAAGGATATAACAAAACCAAAAAAATATCTTCCTCATTACGTTTGGTATTTTTAGATGCGACTGTACAGGATGTGCATCGAAACAAATTGTATCCACTGGGACCTCTGTGAAGTGTATTTTAACAAGTGTCATATGAATTCGAATCGTTATGAATAAAATGAAATCGTGAAATCATTTTGCTCGTTTCTTTGTTCAGACACAATAGAGATAAACGTAGTTTTAAAAAGTGAAATCTTTGCTTAAGTTGCTTTATAGCCCATTTTGCATCCATGATATTACACAGATTTAGCAGTCGTACTATGTATCAAACAACGTTCTGTTTTTATAAAATCCCATGAGAGAATACAAATGCATAATGTCGCCATACGCAATATTGCACAATTCTACCTATAGCAGAGTGACTACTCGCTTTATCATCATCCTCAATTTTGTTCTAACATACTCGATGCACCAGAGACAATCAAAGACACACGACACGACATACTAGAAACTTTTAGATTATGTACAGTTAATTTGGTTATCCCATTCAGCAGCGCCTCCAAACTTTTGTTATACCTTGTAGGTAGTTGTAGGGAAAATTTTATTTTGCATGTAATGAGCGACCGTGACACATGACGTGTTACAACCCACCACTCCTCGCGTCTACGCGGATTAAGCTCCACTTTACAACACCCTTTCTATTTTATTATAAGCTTGTATGTAGGGGAATCTTTGAGCATAATTTTCAACAATTTCCAGATGTTAGATTAATTTGAAACTTCGCACACGTAACTATCAAAGACCGATGACAATGCAATAATTTGATAATAGTTTTCCATTATCCTTATTTGGATCACCAGGATTGATAAATCCTTTTATATTTTATGTGGGGGAGTAAGAGAGATAGGGTGATATGCATAAAGGTGAGTGGGTTCTCTGAAGTAGCGACTCCATATTGTAGCGAGTAATTACTCCTGTTAGGGAGAGCCTACTCGGTTTTGATATGCATAAAATATTTGTCCAGAAACGGAGAGGCTCCTCAAGTGCTAATGAAATACTTGAGTAGGCACTCTGGTTTTCGAGTTCCGACTTGTATTTTGTTGTCTCGCCGAATTGGCAATTTCTCTATTGCGAGCAGTTACTACTGTATACCGGTAAACGTTTGTGTCGGTGGTGTTTAGGTCGATTATTATTTGTTCATTTACATGTCAACCTATTCTGAAGACCATTCATCTGAAAATCAAACAGTATTTGTTAATATAATTAAACAGTATCCTGTTTTGTTGGAAAAATGTAACATCCCGGAAATCAAAAATAAACGACGTAAGGCGGTTGAAGAAATAAAAGAAAAGGTAGAAGCCGAATCGGGAGTTAAATATAATGAAGGGCAGATTTGGAAGAAGATTCAAAACATAAAAACCAGATTATAAGCGAAGACAGACAGAAATCAAACCGGAAACAAACCAATAAAATTGAAAGGATGGGAACAAGAACTGTTCAATTTTCTACAAGGAGAATCAAATCCTAGTATTGCTCGATTGCAATGTTAGTTGTATTTTTTTGTTTTTCCATACAGTAGGTATAAGATGTGATTGAGTATAATATATATACATGTCAATAAATATAAATAGCATATATTTTAAATTTTAGGTGCTGTTGTGGCAGGTTGCCCACAAAAAATCTTTGATTACACTCCAACAGCCTGTTCTAAAGAAGAAACAATCACCGAAGAAGCATCTGGAAGTTCAAGACCAGTACTGAAAGCTACCACAATGAAAGCCGGACCCAGGACCCAGTAAGGAGCCTTCTAAAAAAAAAGGAAAACGAGGATTAGTGGAAACCGATGAAACACGGGATTTATCAATAACAGAGCTCCAACGTCTCATTTTACTTTAACAACTACAAGTGTTTTGGCTAGCTAAGGAACTGCTACTTCACAAGGAAAATATTAATGAATCTGATCCAAATTTATCAACTTTAAATGAATGTGCAGAAACTGGAAATCCAATTTTCATGAACCTATTTCCAGGACAGAACTGACAGATATACTTCATGTTTCATAAATGTTATTTTTTATTAATTTTAAGAACTTTCTCTTACGTTAAAATTTTGAAAGTGTTATTAATTTTGTTATAAGTAATTAAACATCCTTCTTCAACATATATCTACATAATTTGTAAATTTGAATGAACATGAATAATTCTTGATATTGCATCTGTTCTGAATTGACCTCTCTGGCTGCATAGTCGGCAGCATGTTGATTATGGATTTCTTCATCATTAAGGTGCTTAGCCACATTATGCAAGATAAAACAACTCATGACAAGGGACGGCACTTTTTCTGTATCGACGCGTATTTTGTTATGTAGAATGGGAAAACGCTGTTTTAGTTGCCCGAAACATCTCTCTATTATAACTCGCTCTCTCGTAAACAGCCGATTGTATGATCTTTGTTCTGCTGTTTCTGCAATCCTAAAAGGAGTCATGAGCCAAGGAGCTATACCATACCCACAGTCTCTCAACAAAACAGCCCTAGCCCTATTCCATTTGATAACGTTGTATATATCAGAATTCTTCCATATCCAAGAGTTGTGTACAGATCCTGGCCAAGAAACATCCACACTTGTGAACTCTTCGTTTGAATTGCACGTTGCTTGTACATTTATTCTAGCAAAGTTCTTTCTGTTCACATATTCGTCTGCATGAATAAACGGCTTCAGAATAGGTATATGGGTGCAGTCGATAGCACCAATAGCTGAAGGAAAATTGAACTTTTCTTGCCACTTATTTTTAGCATTGTGTAGATCTTCACATGAGGTTGGGAATCTAATCCAAATATTCGACTTCTGCACAATGCGTGTTATAACGTTGGTAACGGTTCGGGATACCGTAGATTGATGGACACCAATATCTTCTCCTATGCCAATTTGAAATCCTGAATCACCCACATATCGTAAAGAAACCCTCATTCTTTCTATATTGCTCAAAGCACCGCCCCTAAATTATTCTGTCTCTCCAAGAAAATGGTTACTTATCCACTAAACATTAACTTTACTAAACCGATATAAGGCCCGATAGTCTACTTCCCTTGATTCCCTACGACCTTTAAACACCTTCGCAGGCTGATGAATAGGCATAAATTCGGCCATTTCGTGAAGACATCCACTTCTTATAAGGCAGAGTCTACTACTAAGGTATCTCGCATTTCTTTAAATATGTACTCAGCGGTCGGAGTGGACGCTCGCTTTTATGCATATAAAAATTAAAGTCGGCACTCAAGGAGCGAGTACAGCCTCACGGAAAGAGTAGAATCTTATGAGTGTGAGCTTCTACTTACATTTTTATGCATATCAAATGGAGTGGCTACTTTAAAAATGCGAGTCAAAAGTAGCCACTCGCCTTTATGCATATCACCCATAGAGCTAGCACGCGATCTGCGCATGCGTGCAGCTTCGGACTTACTCTTTGTTGGTTCGGGCACTGGGCACAGCACAAGGGAGGCAGATAATTTTTTAAGGTAGTTCATTCTCACCTTGTTGATTGCGAATGTTGCCATTAATCCTGATGCAAGGTTGTACAGTCGATCATGCAGTCATTTATCTAGGCTCGCTACTGTTTGCTGCTGGACAAGCTTATGTAGCACTTAGTCGTGTAAGATCTTTAGACGGTATTCGGACTTAAGAACTTGTTTGCTCTAAGTTAACAGGAAAAACCCCATGCAACAGTGAAGCTTTAAATGAAATGATTAGATTACGAAATGATTCGTAAGACATTTCAATACCACATGTTCACAAAAAACTAATTGATATATCGAACTAAAAAATAAAAAATAAATAATAGTTTCAAAAAACACGCTTTTACTGCTAACCGAACTAAAAAGTAGAAAATAATTACAAAGAGTTTACAGTAGTAGATGGTCGAATAATCAATCATAATTAATGACCTCAAAATAAAATTATAATAAACTTTAAGTTATTAACAGAATAATTCAATTCAGAGTAAAAAACGTGGGGTGCATTTCACTACATTTCCATAACTCTACTCTCATAAATAGTTGTAACATTTAATATATCAAGCATCCCACGCTTTTTACTCTGAATTGAATTATTCTGTTAATAACTGAAATTTTATTACAATTTTATTTTGAGGTCATTAATTATCATTGATTGTTTGACCATCTACTACTGTAATATAAATTCTTTATAATTGAAAATTATTTTCTACTTTTGTTCAGTTAGCTACAAAAGCGTGTTTTTTTTTAGTTTTTTAAACTATTATTTATTTATCTTAGGCCCTGTAATTTTGAGTTATACATTTATTCACGCTTGAAATTTTAAGTTTGTATTGCATAAACAGTTATAAATAATAAATTTTGAGGAAAAACCTTACTAAAAAAGAGAGGTGTAACCAATCTATTTTGCTCATTCATAAGCACCATTAAACTTCACACACACAAACTGACACGGAAGTACTATAATCGCAAGAAATCTATAAATTGATATATTCAGTTTTTTTGATGTTACATGACATGAAAATCACGAAAAATCATGTCACTCATTTACTGTCTATCTCTGGTCGTCTGACCCCTAATTTTTGGCTACGACATCAAAAGCACCGCTAGGATTTTGATGAAATTTTGACACAAATCGATCCGGTGGCGGCAGAACTACGGACGAATAAATAAATAAATTCTTGGTGTTTCACTATTGATGATTTTTGGAATTTATTTGAGGGGTAAACATTTAATTTTTTTGGTTGCAATATATTGATATGATTCTACCCCCGGTAGGTTTACGGACCTATTAGACATATTTCACACACAGATTTGCTTGTAAGTTTGCGCTAAGGACTTAAAATTAAATATTCTCAATACCCGCCTCGATCGGAACGAAGATAGGAGATAAACTTGACGTGAACTGGCCGCTGCCGCTAGCGAGGTTGCGATTCTGTAATGCATGCATCGAACGCAAGTGATGTATAGCTAACATACTGGGTCTTAGCCAACAGCGTTAACCAACATATTATTTCACTTGAAAAATTATGACGATAATCATTAATGAACCTGACGGCAAAGTGGTTAACGCGCTGTATCTATCAACCTAGCCACCGTGATCTACGTCGGTTCGAATCCCGCCGCAGGAAAATTTTGCTCTTCCGTCTATCGTAGAGGTACCACCCGGCGAATCTCCAAGGACCAGGGTATGTGCACACGTATTTTCTCGCTAGAGTTCATGTGATGCCCCCTTCTTTCCACTGTATCCCCCCATAAAAAATAGAGAGGTAACAATATTCGTGCTAGTGTGGATCATAGTTCGATGCAACGATTACAGCGCTGTAACGAAATTACAGAATCGTGTTTTTTTTCTAAGAGGGGCTAACTTGTGCCAAGCATAACACTTGACAGCGTTGGGTGGAAAATACAGATTCTTTCCAGAGGGGTGAAACTCATATTAGCGACTGGGAAAGAAAGCAGTGTTGCTTGCACAACTGACGTTGTCTGATTGGCCAGATTTAAATTTCCGGTGGGTTTCTTCCTGTGCTCTGTGCTTTGCAAAAATAACCTTACTTTTTTCAGCAAGAAAATGATTCTTAACATTTTATTTCAATTGAATAAAGCCCCTATTATGTTATTTGAGCCATATGCATTTTGTTCGGAGTTGTGAAGTATAACATTGTAAGTACACACAGCTGTAATACCTATGTTTGTAAATACTATAAGACAAACTCCACATCAAAACTTTCTTTTTTAAGCTGCTCCAAGTCATTAACCAGGCTTCTGGCAGATCCTGAGGTAGATCAGAGATGCAGCGGTTACTCATTTTAGGAATGTAAGATCGTACCTCCACATCACAACAGTGGAGCGCCACGAAAAGTTCAACAGCTGCCGTTGTCAACCCCTGAGGTCTTAAGAATTATCAGAAGCTCAGAGATTACTTCTGATCTAACCAAAAGGCTCAGCTCTGAAGGATATCTGCAGAACACAAGATTTGTAAGTTTTTATATGACTCAATAACTAATGATGATTTGTACTGCTTTTTGTCCAAGTTAGTTTTCATACTTCGTTTTATATCAGCTATTGTCAGAGCAGTGGGGTTGATATGTCAAGCTCACTATAATTTTAATGAAATCAAAGCCAAGTATTCTTATTGAACAATAACATGGGTGTCCTCAGGGGGGCTGTGGTAACAGTTATCTCTTGATGATGATCAGCACATCATATTATTGTTCTAATAATAATAGAAATCTGTGAATTGTAGTAACATATCAACACAATTCTAATTTTTGATTTCTGCAGGTGCCAACAAAGGCTGGGGAATGCAAACATCTGGACCATAATGATGTTAATACTGATTTGTTTGTAGAAAAATGTATGAGATTTATATAACAAATATATATTTAGGTATTTGCAGTATATGGTTTTCTTCTGAACCTTTCCAGATTAGTAAGTAGATATGAGTGTTCTTATAACAGCTTGTGTTATTGACGTTGCTATTTTAACATACAAAAAAGTATTTATTCGTCAAGATAGCGCAAAATGTTAATAACACATGCTGTTATAAGATTCCCATATTCCACCAAATTTCTATATATATATATATATATAAAAGTATAGCAATCTCAGATTTATATGTAGAGCTGGCAACGTTACGGGATATTAATGAACAGTCTGGCAACAATATGGCACCCTCAAAAAATGGCCGTTGACAACTATACAAGTCACCGTGTTGCCATTGAATCGCATGGAATTAAACCTTCTTCAGTGTATATGTTTTGTGGATTCAGCCTATTTGACGTCTTTTTATACATACCTAATTATTTTAATAGGCAGTTTACAGGACACTGATTTGTTTTTTGTAGCCGTTCGACCAGTTATAGAATAGGCCTATAAATATAAATAATATTGTACCACATCACCTAAAAATCAATGTGACTAAGATACTTGGTATTAAAGTTAAGGTTTGAGGTCCATAAAATAAATTTAAGATTTTTCATAGTCTAATATGGAAAGTATATAGGTACAGATGCATTCATTTGAATCAGCAATGATAAA